CCGCGGGCCTCGCGTTTGACACATTTGCACTGAAGGGTGTGTCTATTACAAAGAACTACAGAGCTATTGGCTGAGTAAACGGCTGTGCACACGATGTTCTATGCAAACGGAGAAAAATCGAGCGTTATTAGCCTGGTTTCTTTTCAGGTCGAATGTTATTAATTTATTAAAATTAAACTGGTTCAGAAAAATGCCTCATTTTGGCCACTAGATGGAGCCAGGGATCATAGAAAAGAAATCATTAGACTTAAGGCCACTAGATGGAGCCGGTGATCATAGGAAAGAAATCATTGGATTTAAGGCCACTAGATGGCGCTGATGATCATAGGCACTAAGTATTTATTTTCTGTGATTCCTCGCTCCCTCTAGTGGTCTCAAAGCAGAACTGAGCCTTGTAGAAAAGTGTGAGCCGTAGATTATTACAGGAGAGATATCTGCCTGCTTGCGCGTGCGCAGCTCCGCGTGCATTCCTGGAACACTCCGGCTGTGGAGAAGTAACTGACTCCCATGCGCACGGGATGATTGACGTCTTTCCCCCCTCCCCCCCCCCCCACACTGCCCAATCAAGAGGCCGAAATCCTGCCACCCAGAGAGATGACCGCAGCCGGGGAGCGATGTGGCTGCTGCATCACTGGGAGGTGAAGAGGGATATCTTCTGGATTTTTGTTCCTCTCCATTGAATATGAATGAATAACATTCGACCTGCAGAGGGAATCGAGCGAGCACATTGGATGTTGCCGCCTTCGCACTGAACGAATGTCCTCGCTCTTTTGCTAGACAAATAGCCAAGCAGTTTAAAAAAAAAAAAAAAAAAATGCATTCCTAAGTCATAATAAGTCTGCTCGCTCCTTCTGACCGCACATGTGCATGCAGCAGATCCTGATTGGCTCTTCGTGCTGCCCTGCCCACTCCTCCCAGTCTAAGTGCTCCTGTACAAAAGATAACAGAAAGCTCATACCGTGATTGGGGAATGAATACACAACGGCATTAAACTGGGTTTTTACATCTTCCTTCAAAATTTAAAAAAAATATATTTTAATAAAAAAGGAGGAGGAACCAATCAGGTGACCTGTTGTTCCATGCAATGATTTGTTCGGTGGGAGAGCAGCTCATGGGCGGTTCCTCCGGCCACAAAGGAAACTGACCTAACTTGCTGGAAAGTTCCTTGGGGGTGGAGCCGGGAAATTCTCACAAAGGATTGGGCATCGCTGGAATCAGTTCTGTATGTGACGCTGGAAGGCCACTCCAGTCAGGAGTCCTCAGGAGGGTGTGGGGCCCTCTTGTCTCATTTGGGTCCCTTCACACGGGCACTCCACATTTTTTTTTTTTTTTTTTTTTTTTCCATCAGTTCAAAGAAAAAAAAAAAAAGGATCAGTTTTTTTTAACAGTTCTTTATCAGATTTTCATTTGTTTTTTTTTCATCAGTTTCTTCATTAGTTATTCATCAGTTTTCATAATTTTTTTTCATTTTTTAAATCAGTTTTTCATCTTTTTTTTTTGTTAGTTATTCAGCAGTTTTTCCATCAGTTTTCATAATTTTTTTTTCATCAGTTTTTCCGTCAGTTTTTACATCATCTTTTTTTTTTCATTGGTTTTTACATCATTTTTTATCATCAGTTTTTCATCTTTTTTTTTTTTTTTCATCAGTTTTTTTTCAACAGTTCTTTATCAGTTTTTAATTTATTTATTTTTTTTCATTAGTTTTTACATTAGTTATTCATTAGTTTTCATAATTTTTTCAAATCTTTTTTTATCAGTTTTTTCGTCTTTTTTTTTTTCATTTTTTTACGTCAGTTTTTTTCATTAGTTATTCATCAGTTTTTCTATCAGTTTTTCATAATTTCTTTTCCATCAGTTTTTCATCATTTTTTTTTTATCGGTTTTTACATCTTTTTTTTCGTCAGTTTTTTCAGTTTTTCATCCTTTTTTTTCATAACTAATGCAGGCCATAGATGGGGAGAAAAACGGCAGATTTTCGGCCGATTAACGAACTATCGGTCGGTCTAAAAAACTTACCTGACCACCAATTATTACGAAAATCGGCCGATTTAATGAGTAACCTATAACGGGAAATGATGTCATTTTGTGGCCTTTGTGATCCTTTTTCGGAAAACGATCGTTCGTTTTTGACCATCAATGAGGATAAAGTCGGGCGTTTTTCGAAAATTTTCCAACATCACCGATAATCTGAAAGTCCAAAATACACGAAAAACGGCCGACAAAATCGTCCACTAACGATAAGATAATTGGCCGGTTTTATTTTCGGACGAAAAATCGGCCGTTTTTCTCCCCATCTATGGCCTGCATTATTCATCAGTTTTTTCATTTAGTTTTTACATCAGTTTTTTTTCATTTGTTATTCATCAGTTTTTCATCATTTTTTTTTTTTTTTTCAGCGGTTTTTACATCATTTTTTTTTTCGTCAGTTTTTCATCTTTTTTTTTCCATTCGTTATTCATCAGTTTTTACATCAGTTTTTCATAATTTCTTTCGTAATTTTTTTTTAGTTTTTTTTTATTTCAAGCATGTTTTTTGCTTTTTGTTGTATTTAGATTAATTTAGTTTATTTCATTTAATTTGTATATATTTACTATATTTTATTTTCCTTTACTTATGTAGGCCATAGATGGGTCGAAAATCGGCCGATTTTTTTCCAACTTCACCAAAAAAAAAAAAAAAAAAAAAAAAACGGCCAAAATCCCGAAAAACGGCCGACCAAATCGCCCACTAACGATCCGAAAATCGGCCGATTTTCGACCCATCTATGGCCTGCATTAGAGGGTGTTTAGTGTATTTATTTTTCCCTTTTTATTTCCTTTTATTGGGTCTAATAAGGGGAAGTTTTTTGTCCTCAGATAGGTGGGAGGAGCTCCCATCACCCTCAGGAGCCATTATAAGCCGTTTTTGACCCTTAAAAAAACCGCCACAAATGTTTTGGACCGTTCCGGGACCCTCTCCTAGCTGCTCTCACCTACTATATGGCTCTGTTGGGGCCTCCGCCGCCCTTGGTGGTCCCTATTTGGGGCCCGCTATGGAGTACGCCAACATTGCGGCTCATATCTCAGCGTCTGTGCGTCCGGCGCCGCCATGTCAGCGGTGGAGCGTATGGACTACTTCACCTGCTGCTCTACTTATGGCCTCATTGTCCGGGAAGAAAAGCGCAAGTCGCCGCTCCGACGCCCCAAACTCGGCCATTATGACCCATTATGACCCTTCAGCTCTTTTTTTTTTTTTTTTTTTTAGTCTGGATTGTATCCATTTATTGGATCCTAAACGAAGAACAATGTTGCATTTCCCAGCGAGCGCGGCGCACGCAGGCTACCTGCGGGGGTAGAAACCTTGCCGTAATTTGAGACGACAGCGGTTAATGGGGCGACGCAGGATTCGGCCCCCCGGGACGCCTCTAGACGGGTAATTGCTGCCACTGACAAGAGCCGGGAGAGAGCAGGAAAAGACTTTCCGTGTAACCGGCTGCCCCCTGTGGGGTATTTGGGACGCCTTGTTATCTAATGCAGAGTCTGCAGCGAGGAGACGTTCTCTGCCCCCCCCCCACCCCAGCCGCCGCCACCGCCATGGAAGATGTCGTGTTTATGGAGAGGAAAGCACAGAGACCCAGTGCAAGGCTCAACTCCAATGCTCCATTAACCCCTCCCTGCCTGAGACTTTAGACAGCCGACAGTCCGGACGGGATTTAAAGTGCAGCACCACCCGGCATGCTGGGAAACCAACCAATCACATTACATGAACAATGATTTCCCAGATTCCTGTACTTCTCGGGAAATCCAGTATTGTGGGAGGGGCAGAGACACCAACTACTGCGGGGAGATCTCCCCATTGTGGGAGGGGCAGAGACACCAACTACTGCGGGGAGATCTCCCCATTGTGGGAGGGGCAGAGACACCAACTACTGCGGGGAGATCTCCCCATTGTGGGAGGGGCAGAGACACCAACTACTGGAGGGAAATCTCCCCATTGTGGGAGGGGCAGAGACATCAACTACTGGAGGGAAATCTCCCCATTGTGGGAGGGGCAGAGACATCAACTACTGGAGGGAAATCTCCCCATTGTGGGAGGGGCAGAGGCATCAACTACTGGAGGGAAATCTCCCCATTGTGGGAGGGGCAGAGGCACCAACTACTGGAGGGAAATCTCCCCATTGTGGGAGGGCAGAGACACAAACTACTGCGGGGAAATCTCCCCATTGTGGGAGGGGCAAAGACACCAACTACTGCAGGGAAATCTCTCCATTGTGGGAGGGGCAGAGACACCAACTACTGCAGGGAAATCTCTCCATTGTGGGAGGGGCAGAGACACAAACTACTGCGGGGAAATCTCCCCATTGTGGGAGGGGCAGAGACAACAACTACTGGGGGAAATCTCCCCATTGTGGGAGGGGCAGAGACACCAGCTACTGCGGAGAAATCTCCCCATTGTGGGAGGGGCAGAGACACCAGCTACTGCGGGGAAATCTCCCCATTGTGGGAGGGGCAGAGACACCAGCCACTGCGGGGAAATCTCCCCATTGTGGGAGGGGCAGAGACACCAACTACTGGAGGGAAATCTCTCCATTGTGGGAGGGGCAGAGACACAAACTACTGGAGGGAAATCTCTCCATTGTGGGAGGGGCAGAGACACAAACTACTGCGGGGAAATCTCTCCCCATTGTGGGAGGGGCAGAGACACCAACTACTGCGGGGAAATCTCTCTATTGTGGGAGGGGCAGAGACACCAACTACTACGGGGAAATCTCTCCATTGTGGGAGGGGCAGAGACACAAACTACTGCGGGGAGATCTCCCCATTGTGGGAGGGGCAGAGACACCAACTACTGCGGGGAGATCTCCCCATTGTGGGAGGGGCAGAGACACCAACTACTGGAGGGAAATCTCCCCATTGTGGGAGGGGCAGAGACATCAACTACTGGAGGGAAATCTCCCCATTGTGGGAGGGGCAGAGACATCAACTACTGGAGGGAAATCTCCCCATTGTGGGAGGGGCAGAGACATCAACTACTGGAGGGAAATCTCCCCATTGTGGGAGGGGCAGAGGCATCAACTACTGGAGGGAAATCTCCCCATTGTGGGAGGGGCAGAGACACCAACTACTGCGGGGAGATCTCCCCATTGTGGGAGGGGCAGAGACACCAACTACTGGAGGGAAATCTCCCCATTGTGGGAGGGGCAGAGACACCAACTACTGGAGGGAAATCTCCCCATTGTGGGAGGGGCAGAGACATCAACTACTGGAGGGAAATCTCCCCATTGTGGGAGGGGCAGAGGCATCAACTACTGGAGGGAAATCTCCCCATTGTGGGAGGGGCAGAGGCACCAACTACTGGAGGGAAATCTCCCCATTGTGGGAGGGCAGAGACACAAACTACTGCAGGGAAATCTCCCCATTGTGGGAGGGGCAGAGACACCAACTACTGGAGGGAAATCTCTCCATTGTGGGAGGGGCAGAGACACCAACTACTGCAGGGAAATCTCTCCATTGTGGGAGGGGCAGAGACACCAACTACTGGAGGGAAATCTCTCCATTGTGGGAGGGGCAGAGACACAAACTACTGCGGGGAAATCTCCCCATTGTGGGTTCTGTGGACTTTATAGATCACATGGTGGGTGGAGGCGGGGCATAGGTCTAGGATGGGAATCTCAGTCATTTTTCCTTTGTAAATGCAGGACAAAAAATGCGATTAATAAAAAGTCCTTCAAAACCGGGAGGATAAAGTTTTCAAAATCTTTTTCTACTTCCAATTTTGAAAAACGCTAAAGTTAAAAAAAAAATAAAAAATCAGGTGAAGAATTACAAACCCCATTTGCAGATTACAATTCCTCCGGGAGATTTTCCTCGGGACGAATCTGCGACGGTTTAACGCGGCGAACAAAAAGCCCCGTAAATGACGAGCTCAGGTAAACAAAAAGCTATTAAGGATAACCCCACCGCCTCTATCAGACGCCGGCGCCAATTGTCAAATCTGCCGTTTTACGAGGTTGAAATAATAGTTTGGGGAGCGACTTCGCCGAAAGTTCATTACGGAGAGACAAAAGACTTATGTATAATCAATAGTGGGAACCATTATTATTGACTTGAAATTAATGAGAAGCGAGGGGGGGGAGCCGCCGCCGCCACGCAGATACCGCCGGTCGGAAATCTCTTCTTCTTTTTTTTTTATTGCACAATAAAGGATTAGCGGATCCAGATAACGGACTTAGACGCTTTTATCTTAAATGAAGACCGCGCTTTTCTTTTGTTATTAAGTTTATTTCTAGTAATTTCACAAAAATTGGTCCGCGGAGCTTCCGATGTGACAATTATTGTTAGGCTTTTCGAAATTTTACAGGGGGGGGGGAGCGACGCAACTTCGCGACGTATGACCTCAAAGGGTCAAAATCGCTGCAGTGTTACTAAGACGCCACGTGGTCACTGACACGGTCACCAATATTATATTCATACTCCCTCATTGGGGTTTTTTTTTTTTTTTTTTTTTTCATTCTTTTTTTTTTTTTCTTCCGCCCCCCCCAGCCCACGGTGCGCAAAAAAGGAAACGCCGTTGGTGAACGAAAAAAAGTGCAGTAAGGCCGGCCATACATGGGTTGATTTCTGGATGATTTTTCATTCGAAAATCGGACCTAACAGTCACGGCAGGGGCATCTTTGAGGCTCACTCTAGAGGCTTTTGCCCACCAGCGGTCCCTTCCATAGCCAGGAGCGGACTGACAACTCATGGGGCCCCGGGCAATAGGGGATCATGGGGCCCCTGTGCCCTTGCCCAAACTCAAAAAAGCCTATGAAAAAGGTACCAGGGGCATCTCATGGGGCCCCCTACTGACCCAGGGCCCTCGGGCAGTGCCTGAGTTTCCAAATGGTCAGTCCGCCCCTGGCTCAGATCAAGGGTCTAGTAGGAATTTAGGGGGGGAAAGGTGCTTTTGGGGGGAGCCCCCCTACCTCAAAACACCCCTTGTGTTGAGGGCATGTGGCATGGTACGGTTCAGGAGGGAGGGGGGGCGCTTGATCGTGCCCCCTTTTCCTGCCCTGCCAGGCCTGTGCTCGGATCAAGGGTCTAGTAGGAATTTAGGGGGGGAAAGGTGCTTTTGGGGGGAGCCCCCCTACCCCAAAGGACCCCCCTGTGTTGACGGCATGTGGCATGGTACGGTTCAGGAGGGGGCGCGCTCGATTGTGCCCCCTTTTCCTGCCCTGCCAGGCTTGTGCTCGGATCAAGGGTCTAGTAGGAATTTAGGGGGGGAAAGGTGCTTTTGGGGGGAGCCCCCCTACCCCAAAGCACCCCCCTGTGTTGAGGGCATGTGGCATGGTACGGTTCGGGGGGGGGCGCTCAATGGTGCCCCATTTTCCTGCTCTGCCAGGCCTGTGCTCGGATCAAGGGTCTAGTAGGAATTTAGGGGTGGGGGGAGGTGCTTTTGGGGGGGAGCCCCCCTACCCCAAAGCTCCCCCTCCATGTTGAGGGCATTTGGCGACTGCCGGGTTGCACACAGAGCTCTCTGGCGTCACAGGTAGGTGACCTCAACGTTCAGCTCTTCTCATTGGCCGCTACACGCTCCAGTGCTCCCCATCGCAGATCCACCATGGCTGGGTTTAGGGGCCCCATGGCTGTAAGGGGCCCCACGATTTTTACTGACAGCCCTGAATACATGAGGAAGGCAAATTGGTGGTTCAGCCTAGGCACCAAACAGCAGATCCACCGACTGCCCATGTGAAGTGCTCTCCGTGCTCTCGCTGCAGCAGATTACAGAAAACCCAGATTACGGTCGGCCATACACAGGTCGATTTCAGAAAGATTTTTCGTTCGAAAATCAGATTTAAGATTAATCGGGCAATTTTTTTTTTTTTTGCTCTGTTAGTGGGGTGATGGCACTGGCTGATTTTCATGGCTGCTCCTCATTTCGTTTATTGCGCATGTTAGAAAATTTGTGAAAAGCAACCAATTTTTGAATTCATTGGTGGCGCCATGGGATTACAAAACGAACGTTTTTGATTTTCAATCAAAAAATCGTTCGGAATTCAACCCAGGTATGGCCTGCTTTAGGGTGTGTCATATTGTCCGCTCCCAACAGCAGATAGCCAACTTTTGGCCCTGAGGGGGGCAAATACAACCCAGAGGCCCATAATGCAGCGACTCGGCCCCCGTTACTCTTACTCTTCCCTGGTTCCTCCTGACTGCCTCTCTCTGCTCACCGGGTGGGTTGGGCTGGACAGTGCCTGCTGCCAGTGGCGTCCCAAGGCAGGTGTAGGGGGTGTGGCCTGTACCGGGTGACACCGACCGCACAGGGTGACACCGGACCCGCTCCACGAAAAGGTAAGTTGTAAAGCAAGCCGACGATCCCCGCAGGATGGATCGGATCTGCGGATTGAGCATAATGGATCAGCGTCTGATCCATTATGATCAATCTGCAGATCAGATCCATTCTGTGGGGATCGTTGGAGGGGGTGACACCAAGTGTTATGGCACCGGGTGACACCATCCCTAGGGATACTCCTGCCTGCTGCACCGACTTCGGGTTCCTGAACTGGCTGCCTGGGGGTGGCGCTGCAGAGGGGAGCCAGGATCAGGGCTTGCCAGGGGAGTAGAGCCCCCAGTGGGCACAGAGCCAGCCTCTTCTCGGGTGGGGGGGGGGGTCTGCACTCTGTCTTTGTCCTCACTCAGCACTCAGCAGGCTACTGGCAGGTACTTTATACTCTTTAGTCTGCAGTGGAAGCGGTGTAGCCTTTTTACTCCTGCCCCCCCCCCCAGCCCAGTCTGCTCCTGCCCCCCCCCCCCCAGCCCAGTCCGCTCCTGCCTCCCCCCCCCCCAGCCCAGTCTGCTCCTGCCTCCCCCCAGCCCAGCCCAGTCCGCTCCTGCCTCTCCCCAGCCCAGTCCGCTCCTGCCTCTCCCCAGCCCAGCCCAGTCCGCCCCTGCCCCCCCCCCTCAGCCCAGTCTGCCCCTGCCCCCCCCCCCCTCAGCCCAGTCTGCCCCTGCCCCCCCCCCCCCCAGCCCAGTCCGCTCCTGCCTCCCCCCAGCCCAGTCCGCCCCTGCCCCCCCTCAGCCTAGTCCACCCCTGCCCCCCCCCCCCCTCAGCCCAGTCTACCCCCCTGCCTCCCAAAGAGAAAGGACCCCTCCCTGACCCCACAGGAGTGAGAGACTCAAGACAAGGGGCAAGTCACACTCAGGTCCACCCAGCCAAAAGGCCTGACGGCTACTTAGGGTCATCTGGAGCCAAGCAACTAGTGAGGAGTACTGATCGGCTGAACCCCCCCCCCCCCCCGTTTGGTTTGCGGTCGAAACATCTGAACCTACAGAATGTTCGACCACAAACTTTGAACACGAACTGAATAACTGAGCGGTATCTTCCTGCATGTCAGTAGGTGGTGAGATCCCGCTCAGTGACTACAATCCAGCGGAAGTTCTATGATGACGTCACGCGGTATTTTAGTAGCGGGACATTCCTTCATGTTCCTGGTGTCAGTGGGGTTCCTGGTGTCAGTGGGGTTCCTGGTGTCAGTGGGGATCCTGGTGTCAGTGGGGATCCTGGTGTCAGTGGGGATCCTGGTGTCAGTGGGGTTCCTGGTGTCAGTGGGGTTCCTGGTGTCAGTGGGGATCCTGGTGTCAGTGGGGATCCTGGTGTCATTGGGGTTCCGGGTGTCAGTAGGGTTCCCGGCTTCCAGCTGAATGTCAAAAGAATTGTCAGCATTGCCCGGCAAGTACATTTAAAAAAAAAAAAACCGCATGGGGTCCCCCCTCCCATCCATACCAAGCCCTTCGGGTCTGGTGTGGATTTTGAGGGGACTCCCCTCGCCAAAAAAAAAAAAATGGCGTGGGGGTCCACCCCCAAAATCCATACTAGACCCTTATCCAAGCATGCAGGTCAGAAGGGGGGGGACCAGTGAGCACCCCCCCCCGCCTGAACCATACCAGGCTACAAGTCCTCAACATGGGGGGGTACTTTGGGGCAGAGGGGCTCCCCCCCCCAAGCACCTTGTCCCCATGTTGATGGGGACAAAGGCCTCTTCCCCACAACCGTGACTGGTGGTTGTGGGGGTCTGCTGGTGGGGGGCTTATCAAAATCTGGAGGCCCCCTTTAACAAGGTCCCATCCCCCCCATTCGCGACACTGGCTCCCGCCGTCTGACAGCTGCACCAGAATGACACTTCTTAAATACCGTCATGATGTCACAAGGGGGCGGGAGTTCAACCCCCCCCCCTTGTGAGGTCATTGTATGCTGTGATTGGCCAAAGCGTTGCACCTGACCTGTGGTCAGGTGCATTGCTTTGACCAATCACAATGCACTGTCAGGGCGCAGTGTATTGTGGGGCGCGGTGGGGGAATAGCCCGCCGAACGCCTGTACCGTTTGTGTGTTTAGCGAACACATGCATGACCCATGTTCAACTCAATCATGCAGCCCAATACTAGTGAGGAGCTAGATGAGGGGTTCTCCTGAAGAAAGACATCCCCCAATCCCAAGGCAGGGGAGAAAAGAACCTAAGGGCCACACATCCTTCTCCTTGACCCCCTTCAGGGTAGGTCCAAAACATGAAGAGAACAAAATAAAAAAAAAAGGTGCCAAAAATTGGCCGATTTTTGGCCACAAGGCCTAGCCCATGAGGAGTGGTGCAGAAACAAACAAGTGGTGTTGTGGCCGAGTGCTCCTCCTTACAGTAGGGCCCCAAACCCATACAAGGAGCACCCTTGGGATTCCACTCCTAGGAGGGGGGCACTTAACACCATGGGCTCCCTTACCCCTGGCCAGCACTGTTTGAATCAAAAAGCACTTGGTCCCTTGGGCCCTATCCACACTAGGGAAGTGCTACTGACCCCCCACCTCCTGGGGGGGAGCTCAAATATGAATCCTTGCAATGAGGAAGATCCATCAAGATCCCCATCATACCGGCAGGGATACTATGCAGCCGGCCATCCCAGCCAGGATGACGGTGGAGCGCCCCTACTGGACACTGAGAAGGACATACACTAAACTGGACCTGAGCCAACAGGCAGAGAAGCAACATTGTTACTAATACGCTACATTGTTACTAGAACTGACACTCATAATTTTTTTTTATTTTTAATTTTTTTTAATTAATACTCCCCACTGCTTGGGAGGGTTTCATCCCTTTTTAATGGGTTCATGGGAAGTGGAGTTTTGAATACCGGGTGAGAATTTTAGCGCCGCCCACAGTAGAACCGCCCCTTATTTCCAGCTAACTTTCATTCTGACACTTTATTTGTCATTTTTTTGGCATATTGTTGTTGCTGTTTTATGCGGAGCCCACGCCCCGCGTCCCCCCCTCCTCCCCCGCGTCCCCCCTCCCTCCGTCAGCGTGGTAAGGCTGCTGGTAATAAGCCCTCATTTGCATGTATGTAAATCTATGCAGATCGTGTGCTTAGTTTTATTCCTGCACATCTGGACACCCTGGAGGGAGCTGGGGGGGGGGGGGCGGATAATTCCGGAATCTACATAAATTATGAGGCTCGTGGTTCGGCATAATGTGGAAGCCGGGAGATAGGAGCGATCGGTTTTCTCC